TTTCAGTGATATTCCAACACAGTCAATATAAGTATTTCATAAAGATTTTATTTTTGCAGAAGATGTTGACAGTAACACTTTAAATCTGTTTTTGTTTACAATGCAGGTCCCTGTTTCTGTGAATTTAGATCACTGCCTAGAGCTATCTGAACTTATACTTTTCTTTTTGATGGTTATTGAATTTTGGTTAATAGATATCTTTATCAAAAAGTACCATATTCAATTAAAATATTTAAAGGGTCATATGAAATTAAAACATTATAAGTACAAAACCTTAAACTACAGAGTACCGAAAGGAGTGATGAACAATGAGACTTCTGTCATAGGTAGTACATCCAGGGGCAGGCTAGTGATATATTCATGGCTCTCAAGAAGTAGGGCCTGGCGTACCACTACACATTAATCTTGGCACAATGGAGGAAATATTAGCAAAGTCTCATTAGTTTCATTAGCACCTGGATTTCATATCTCCCTTTGTAATCGCCAAAGATCAAAAAAAATTTTGAACTCCAACAGAGCATTTTACCTTTAAGATAAAGTAAGTTTTGCAGGCCTTATTTGTGGGGATGAATTTATTAGAGTGTAACTAACCTAAGGAACTGGTGCCGCATCACCGTTGCTCTTAATAAGATCAGACACAAAAAAGAGTTTGGGATCCTCAAAGGAATAAATTGGGTGCTCTCTCACAGTCTCCATAAATTAAGCCTTCCTCATATATCTCATCTCATAATCTGATAAGTATAGTTCTTAGTATCTCTGCTTGTGGCCAAGGTGATCTCTGTACCCTGTAACTAGCTTTCAGCTTTTTTTTGGCAATAGTATGACCATAAGATGGTGTAGACAATGGGGCAGCTCTTTAGCTCAGGCACACCACAGATTTGGAAGTTGGGCTTTTTATATCTGTCCTGTTGCCATGATCTTGAGCAGGTCAGATATGAGACTTTGGCCAGAGTTAACATTAGGTTCTTTATTGTTGAGTTTGCACATAAAAGAAGAGCAAGAAATTCTATAAATGAAATTATAGGGATAAGGAAAATAAAAGAACATAAACGGAGTTATAGGTGATAAGGTTAAATAATAGAAAGAGAGGTTTAGGCAAAATACCCCAGACAGGTTATAAAACAGGATATAAATAATTAGTAGAAAACCTATAGAAAAAAGTAAGATATTTTAAAGAAAATAAGTAAACCAAAACAGTACAGAAAGGTATGAGCAATTACAGGTAAAGTAGACTTTAGTGAATCAGCCCCCTGTTGGAATGAGTACTGATAACTTAGGAAAATAACACCATGCAATATTAGTTAGTAGTAAAGTCCAGATTGGTGTTATGCAGGTTGGTATAGAGCAGATAGGCCGAACGGATCAGGTTGGTATAAATCAGGTAGGTAAGATAAAGCTGTGAATGTTTACATGGTGTGTTCAATAAAAACATGGCAACATTTCATTCTTTGTGTGTTATTAGTTTAAGCAGACTGTGATTGTCTATTGTTGTGACTTAGATGATGATCAGATCACATTTTATGATGACCAATTTGTACAGAAATCCATATCATTCCAAAGGGTTCACACACTTTTTCTTGCAACTGTATTTGGGAATAAACACATTGATTTGGATTTGAGAATTTTTGTGATAGACTAAAGTAAGTTTGCAGAACATACAGATTAGCTCTCTTAAAACAAATGTATTATGTTTATAAAAACTGCTTTAAGAACCATCAAGTGATTTTTGTAAAAGCTTCTAAATATCTGAAAATGCATCTGTGCCATGTATAATATATGTCAGTTTTCACAACTAATAGTATATTTGCCAAATGAAATAGAGGATCCTCAACCCTGTGAACCTTACAGGACTACTCTGGGATGACAAATACACACAGGTCATGCCACATACTGACTAGATAGATAGAAGCGGATGAAATGCATGAGTGCCCAACAATGATAATAAGAGAATGTCTCTTATTTTAACGTGGGAAAAGACCAGTAGAATTATGTGATACTATATGCTCCCTAGGTTTTTGTAATTATTCATGTGCAAGTGATAAAGTGTATTCCTGGTCATTAGCCAGGTTCACATGGTAAAGGCTAATAAGATAATTGCAAAATATTATGTTTCATTGCTCCCCCTTCCTCATAAAGCACGCTACCAATATATTGCTAGTTCATATATTATCTGTATTATTGTAAAAATAATAGCAGCAACGTATAAATACCATAAAATGCTTAGTATTTAAAAATAATTTGTTCCCTACCTAAACTATGTTTTATGTTTGTTTGTTTTTTACTACAATGATATAATACGTAGTAATTTAGCAATCCTTGTCATTTTTTAAATTTTTTTATCTTTATTGAAAAATGTTCTCAAAATACATACAAAAAATACTACAATAAAAGACATCAGACATTACATGCGCAAATAAAATCTAAGTTGCGGAATTCCAGTTTTTGTTCATATAAGAAAAGATTAAAGGAAACCAGTGATGTCCCCTTTCGGGCCTTTCCCTTTTTACAGACGCAACTTTATACATTATTTTTTTTATCCTCCACATTCATACACACTTTTATATGGGCCATTCTTGGCTTAAGGGCAATATCAATGGATTTGCAAAATAAAATCTTAGTCAGTTATGGGGATTTCATTTCCTCCTAATTAATTAATTATTTCATTGTAGAAGTGGAGAATTTAATCTTTATTATTATTATAGTGTAAAGTTTTTGAGCTAATTGAGATACAAAATGACTCTTTTGCGGAACTGCATTTGTTTTCCAGTGTCTAGCAATCACCATTTTGACAGTCATCAGACAGTGAGTCATTATAATTACCAGATTTTACTATTTCATGACGTAAAGTCATGATTTTATTAATGACACAGAGGTGAGTATTATGCTGCACTTTCCTTTTTCCCTCTGCAGCAAAGAAAAAATAACATTACATCAGTATAATAAACAATCCATAACATGAGAGGTATATCTTCCCAGCAACAGGAACAGCCAATCAGATTCCACTCTCTAGCATAATAGGCGTTGATCTACAAACTTCTTCCTCTTTCTTGCAATCCCGAACAAGGATACGTCTAATAAAAAAGGAATTTCACTAAAAGGATAATGTCCATATCAAAACGAATTTCCAAGATAAGCACAGAACCAAAACGATACCTCGAATTTAAGCTGTACGAGAGAAACAATATGGTAATATCCAAGCCATAACTGGATGTATGTATAGTTATTGTATTGTAATATGTATATCAGTTAATATTAGGCAAAAAAGAAAGACTAATTTAGCAGAAAGTTGTTTGAGGGATAACGACACATTGTCTGGCCATGACTACAGAAAGCTGAAGACAAGGGAAACGTCCCAGATTAAAGTATAACGAGGCAAAGGAGGACGAGAAAACTGCACTCCGCGAAGGAGGCGACAGACAAATGGATGTCGTCCGATAGAGATACCATCAATGCCTTGGTGTGCTGCGGAAAGCACAGAACGGTAAAGGTTAACCGTGCGGTACATTTTCCCTGCCTCAAAAAGAGAAGTCATAAAATGTAAGATGGATGTTAAATGATCCGACAAAGGATCCAGATTTTCCAGGCACCAACCATTCCATGGATTCCAAGCAGATTTATAAGCTTGCCTCGTGCAGGGTGCCCATGCATTCTCGAGAAGTCTGATAGTAGATTGCCGAACGTCTGGGATTGACCAAGGTCCCCTGAAATCAGCCATACTATAATACGTAGACAGAGCTGCCATCAGAAATGTTGGGGCTCCTGACAAAGCTCATGGTCTGGGCCCCCAGAGCCCACCCATGAGTCCGCCCCTAAATCAGCCCACAAGAATGCAGTGTGTAGTCAATGCCCAGTGTGTGTTTAGTGGATGCAGTGTGTGTAAAGTGGCCAAAATGTAGATCAGCATCTGTTGTACAAGTCCCAGAATGCTTTGCTAGCTGTGGATCTACAATTTGCCAATTCTTGTCGGGCTTTATTTAGCACTCAGCAGTGTATGTGTGTTTAAATGTAAGCATGTTTTTGTATGGAGTATGTGTGTATGTGAATGTTGGTATTTGAATGCAGGCGTGCATTTGTGTGTAGTGTATACACACACATACAGATACACACATTGACATACATGCAAATACACAGACACACAGAAACACACATTGACACATACTTACACACACGCACACTAAGGTGCACATTGACAGATAGAAACACACACACAGATGCCAACTGACACAGACACATACAGACACACAGATGCACATACATATGAGATACAGACAGACACAGATACATACAGACACACACGGATACACACATACACTCAGATGCATACACTGAGACTCTGATACAAACAGACACACATACACTCAGGTGCACATTGATACATATACATAAAGCTATACACACACATACACATAAAATCAAACTATAAATAAAATATGGTTTAAAAAGTAGAGAAACAATAAAATAATCAAGTCTATGGGATTCACATCAAATAAAATTAACTTTATTTGAGAATCTCTTAAAACAAAGATAGTGTGAGATCTCCAGCAAAAAATAAATAAAAGAAAATGGGTCATGCACATAATAAAATATCAGATGGGGTGTGCAAGATAGAAAGGTGAACAACATGACCCTGATAATTGTTGGGAATAGGGGCCTGGGTGTCTGGGTGCCTGCGCCTCCCAGGGCCATGGGACCCATGACAACAGTCATGGTTGTCACCCCCTGATGGCGGCCCTGGACGTAGAAGATGGGTCGGGTTGGAATCTCTGTCTCTATGGCTGGTTTGCTCATCAGTTCTTGGATACAAGAAGAGCATCTTGATGGGAAAAACAATTTCCCTGGGAGGGGAGATTTGGACTGGTTGTGACACAAAATCTATCTGAAAACCCGTCACGGCCAGAAGAACCCAAGCATCTGACATCAGATGCGACTACACATGAGAAAAATGCAGGAGTCTGCCCCCCCCACTACCAGAAGGGAAAAGGGGGAGTGTTGACACTTACCATAAGGTCGTCTTCCAGAAGGTGCTTCTTGATTGCGACCCAGGGTCTGCCTCTCTGTTGGAAGACAGCTGGTGATGTTCTTTGTTCCTGAAAATCAGCTCGTCCTGAATAGGAGTTCTGTCTATAAGTACCGGACAGACGGCTTCTTTCTCTTCCGGCCCCGGCAAAACATTTTGGGTTAACAATTTTCCTCATATTACTTTGGGCTTTATCCAAAGCTGTAAATGTGTGGACAAACAACCCCAACTCCTTAACAAAAGAGTCACCAAATTGTAACCCTTTAGCTTGGGCACCTGGTTTACTAAGGGCTAAATTGACCAGCTTGGGTTCAATTTTGAGTAGGATGGATTTGCGTCGCTCAGTAGCAATCACAGAATTTACATTGCCAACCAGGCAAATAATACGTTGGATACAACTGCGTATGGTGTCTCGATCCAGATCTCGGTCGTCTTCGACCGCATCAAAAATTTTGGCAGCAAGGCCTAATCTGTCCAGAAATTTATCCTGACAGTGGGTCAACAAAAAATCCAAACCCTTTCTGGGTTTCCATCCAGTTTTTCCCAAAAACTTGATGATTTTGGGGTCTACAATAGGCGTTTTACATGCATTATTAAGGACAGTAGTGCGAGGGCATTCTACCCATAACTTATTCTGTGTAGTCGTGTCCAAGGGTTTACAGACTCTAGAGGCGATGTATTTCGCCATATGTTCAGAAGGGCACCACTCCACTGAATGCAGATATCTCAAATCCTCTGGATCAAACAGGGGTAAACCCCGAGGATCCAAGATTTTTGTATCGTCACCAGAACCCGACACACTTACCTGGGCCCCAGAAATCGTAGCGAGAAAGATGCTGTGGGAGGAGCCGGTCGCCTCTCCCCCTGCACTGTCGGAGTCTGGTACAGACTTGTCATCTGAGGCATCCAGTGTGGACTCATCACTCTCCTACTTGATGTCGCTGAGATCAGAATCAGATGAATCAAGCTGGGCTCTCGCCCCCTTCCATAGTCAACATCACGCCCATAGCAGACATCAGAGCCTGCATCATAGATCTAGACAGTGAGGCGTCCAAAAGCACCTGCATGTCTGCAGATGCAGTGAGATCAGGGGACAAAACCCCTTCCCCAGCAGGGTCATCATGGGGAACCTGAGGGGTCGCATGAGACTTGGAGGACATAGGTAAATCCCTGTCAGACTGCATGATATTAGTATCAGTATAAATGCTATGATAACTAAATAGAGAATCCTAAATATAGTGTTGATTAACCCACAAGGGAATAACATGCTGAAAATAAACTCACAGTTTTATAGAAATACTGTAGAAAAGTAAAAGAGCCGTCCGTTCGCCAAACCTGCTAAACCTCAACAAGGTTTAGACAGGAAGAGGTAAGGATATCGGCTAAAAGGACGCGAAATTCCACCAAACGGTGGAATTTCGTGAAACAAACGCAATTTTTGAACTAGTACTCCGAATGGGAAAATTTTATAGTTATAACCTCAGATTTTTCCCACTTCATTACATTAAGATCTGGGATAACCATTTCTAAAATTCTAACATTAGCACCACTATAGCTTTTATCCAAGAATTTTAGCTCAGTTTTAATGGATTTCCATTGGTTCAGAGTTTGTCATAAAACCATTGGGAAATCTGACATATCAATACGGTCCTTAAGATCATACCAAATTAGTCTTCGAAGATTTAACTTTAACTTGCTCTGTTTCTAATTTGTACCAGTTAGAATTGGTTAGATGTAATTTATATATATGGACTAACATATTGGCTAAATAGGTCTCTTTAATTAGTGGGTTTCCCAGTCCTCCCTGGTAACCTTTTTTAGAAAGTGCAATAGAAGGCCCAGACTGGCCATCGGCAAACTGGTCAAATGCCCAGTGGGCCATGATGGACCTGGGTCGAGGCCAGCAGGGGAGAACATAAGAGCCCCCTGCTGGATCTCCTTCACCGACCCACAGGCAGTAACATGTGTCAGCCGGCAAGGAAGGGAGAGAGGAGAGGACCCAGGCGCTCTATCTTGCAGTTCCATCGGGTCCTTCCTCTTGCGAAGTCGGACTGTTGCGGTGGTTACCATGGCAACGCTCCAATCTCGCGAGAGGGAACGCTAGCTCCCGCAGCTGCTAGAATTCACTCCCCACTAGGACCACCAGCGCTTCACAAGCAGTGTTCCCCCCTGGCACCAATATATTAGCAGCAGATCCTTCAAGTCTTGCAAGTAGTAAAGTGTGGCCTCCATGGATCGTATTTGTTCTTCCAGCACTTCCCACAGATGCTCAACTGAATAGAGATCTGGGGAATTTGGGGGCCAAGGCTATAGGGATCGACTGATTATCTGTCTGGCCAATATTATCGGATGATATTTCACATTTTCATCAATATCAGTATCAGCCTATAATGATACTGATATTGCCAATAATGCAGGAGGTGGTTAGGACCCAGCACACGCTACCTGCAGCGTCTCTCTGCAACTCTCATGAGCCAACCAGCAATCAAAGCATTGCCACGGGTTACCATGGCAACACTCTGTACTGCACACCTGGCTTAAGAGAAGATAGCGTGTGCTGGGTCCTAACCGCCCCCTCTACAGTATGAAACCCCATTGGAACACCAGGGAGTGTCATGCCTCCTCCCTTTGAAAGATAAAAGTCAGGAAAGAGGGAATAAAATGTTAATTATTTTATTTGTATTATTATTAAACAATGTAATAATAATAATATAAATGTATTTTTATTTTTTTTAAAAAGAAACCACAGAATCCTACCAAAATATTTACACACACACTGCATTCACCACACAAACACACACACTCACACTGCATCCACAACACAAACACATACATTTTCTTGAAAACAAAAAGACCTGACTGGTATTTATATTTTGTGCATTTACCACTCCGTAAAGGAAAGATTAGCAAAAACAGAAAAAGCATGACATGATAAACATGGTCAGTTAATGACAGGTTTGTATAGAAATTGTTTCTTTTTTTAAATGGAAAATGTTCAGAATATCGGTACAAGTTATCGGATATCGTCCTGAGAGGCCAAAGATTATTGGTATCGGCCCTAGAAAAGCAATATCAGTGGATCCCTACAAGGCAACACCTTAAAGGTTTTGTCATGTTTCTCAAACCATTCCTGAAATGTTTTTGCAGTGTTGCAGGGTACATTATCCTGCTGAAAGAGGCCACTGATCAGCCACAACATCAAAAACACCTGCCTAATATCTTGTAGGTCTCCTCGTGCTGCCAAAACAGCTCTGATGCGCTGAGGCATGGATTCCACAAGACTTTTGAATGTTTCCTGTGGTATCTGACACCAAGACAGTAGCAGCAGATCCTTTAAGTGGTGCAAGTTGCGAGGTGAGGCCTCCACGGATCGGATTTGTTGTTCCAGCACATCCCAAAGATACTCAGTTGGATTGAGATCTGGGGAATTTGGAGGCCAAGGCAACACCTTGAACTCTTTGTCATGTTCCTAAAACCATTCCTATTTTTGTAGAGGGGGGGGACTGGGCAGTTTTTTTGTACATGGGGACTGGGCAGTTTTTTTGTACATGGGGACTGGGCAGGGGTTTTTGTAGATGGAGAGGGGCAGGCGTTTTGTGGAAGTGGGAAGAGGATTTGTAGAAGGGGGACTGGGCAGAGGTTTTGTATAAGGGGGGGTTGTAGAAAGGGGATTAGGCAGGGTTTTAATAGAGGGGGTGCAGGGTTTTTGTGGAGGGGACAGGAGATTTGTAGAAGGGGGGTTAGAAAGGGGACCGGGCAGGGTGTAGTAGTAGACAATAAAAATTAAAAAATATTAAAAAAACTTAGTGGGTGTTTTTTACATTTGAATTGAGGGGAGGGAAGGTGCCAAAAAAAGCTCTAGGTACACCCCTGGTCTGCAACAATCTTTAGGTAGGTGGTATGTTTCAAAGTAAAATCCACATGAATGCCAGGACTCAAGGTTTTCCTAGAAGAACATTGCCCAGAACATAACACTGCCTCTGATAGCCTGCTTTCTTCCAATAGTGCATCCTGTAGACATTTTTTGACACTGTCGCACTTAGAAGGCATATCAATAAACTGCAGTCCTTGTGTTTGGATTCCAATATTTTTGAATGGGTTAAGCAGTGGCTGAGTGACAGGCAACCGAGGGTTGTAGCCAATGGAGTATATTCGAAGCATGGTCTAGTTACCCGTGGGGTACCTCAGGGATCTATACTTGGGCCCATTCTCTTTAATATTTTTATTAGTGATATTGCAGAAGATCTTGATGGTAAGGTATGTCTTTTTGCTGATGCTACAAAGATTTGCAACAAGGTTTATGTTCAAGGAGGGATAAGCCAAATGGCAAATGATTTTGGTAACTAGAAAAATGGTCAGAGCAGTGACAACTGACGTTTAATGTGGATAATTCATCTTGGGGTGTAAAAACCCAATGGTAGAGTAAATAATATTTGATACAGTCCTAACCTCAACTTCTGAGAAAAGGAATTTAGTGGTAATTATTTCAGATAACTTAAAGGTAGACAGACAATGTAAAAGATCAGCAGGAAATGCTAGCAGAATGCTTAGTTGTATAGGGAGAGGTATTAGCAGTATAAAGAGGGAAGTGCTCATGCCATTGTACTGGTGAGACCTTGGAGTATTGTACGAAGTACTGGAGACCATATCTCCAGAAGGATATTGATACTTATGAGAGAGTTCAGAGAACGACTACTAAACTGGTTCATGATTGCAGGGTAAAACGTACCAGGAAAGGTTATAGGATCTTAACATGTATAGACTGGAGGAAAAACAAGACAGCGGGATATGATAGACACATTTCAATACATAAATGGAATCAACACAATAAAGGAGGAGAGTATATTTAATAATTGAACCACAACAAGAGGACATTCTCAAATTAGAGGTGCAATGGATTAGAAATAATAGCAGCATGTATTACTTTACTGTGAGGTTAGTGGATGCATGGCAGTGGAAGAGGTAAATACAGTGAGGGAGTTTGAGCATGCGTGGGATAGGCATAAGGCTATCTTGGATCTAGCAGCCATCTGAGGAGAGGCCAGTGGAGTTATCACTAGGCTGTAGTGTAAACACTGTATTTTCTCTGAAAAGACAGTGTTTACTGCAAAAAGCCTGAAATTACTGATTCTACTCACAAAACAATTACAATAAGCTGTAGTTGATTCAATGCTTTCCTATGGGGAAGGTCTAAGGTGCGCACAGCGCTGGGCAATAGGTTCCGTCTTAGCACTGACATCGGAGGAGACAAAACCAACGCCGAGGGACCTCAGCACTGGAATCAGATGATTGCCTTTTGATTGAATGAAAGGGTTACTTAACCATTTCTGTGCAAAATGAACGCAGGAGAAGCAAAGTAACAATTTAGTGTTAAAAAGAAAGCTTTGTATTCCTAACACTATAGTATTCCTTCAATAATGAAGTATGAATAAGATGGCATATTTTGCTTCTGTACCCTTGCTAGCATTTGCTTTTTGATACAATTTTTACTACAAAATAATGAATCTTAGTTTGTTATATTTATTATTTTGCTGTTTTTTAAATTTGGTTTTCCAGTGCCAACCTTATTTATTTCTAGAGGATTTTGTCTGCGCTAGAGAGCTGTGGTGCCCTGCGTTTGCTACACATATTATCTTATGGCAGCTAGCCAAGTAAAGAGGAGGTCATATGTAAGGAAAAGTTATGTCGTTTGAAGTAAAGGTTTTTACACTGTGCTAATCTTGTGAAAATATTAGCAGAGACAATACATTAACGTAGGATCTGTAGGCTAGGCACATTTTTTAAGAAAGCCACAATATTTTCTTCCTGGAGCAATTACAGCTCCTCTTACACACCTGTACATATCTTGCTAGCCATTCACTTATGTCAACATTGTTCAAAACATTGTTGTAACTTTTCGGAATTAATGTGCTTCTTAATAT